TGAGTGTGTTGTGCACGTACGTGTCGTTCAACTAACTTAGGTATGTGGGCAAGAAGCGGGCATGTTTAAGTAAAAGTTTGTCGCATAGAGCGGCGCGTGTGTGTTATACGAAGGCACAATTAGAAGATGTAAACCTTTCACTCTTCTCTTCCCCCTGCTCTTCCACACTCGGTGCATAACTGTCCCTGAACCATTAGTGCGCGGTGACGATGCAAATGTGTCTGTATGCATGTGTGTGTGTGTGTGTGTGTGTGTGTGTACGTACGTGTGGATGTTGTATGATTATCGGTGTACGTGAGCGTATCGTTAACTGGCTCCGAAACGATCTTATCTCCATGAAGAAATACTTTCTAAGCGATATTTATCGGTCATCATCCAAGCTTGGTCAGATGTTAAGAGACAGAAAAAGTAATTCACTTTACGGCAATAGGAAGTGATTTTTAAGAGGAAGTTCACACTGACAGAAATGCGAGCAAAATATTTTTCTACGATGAGACAAAATCATGTCGAAGACGGTTAACTTTAGTGTTCAGCTCACTCGCCAGAAGAAAGTAGGAAGTTGTAGGCATCGCTTTCATTTTGAGTCTCGACCCCTAATGTCTTCTTCTTCCCTTCCCGTGAAAAGAAGGGAAGGATTCCTCACCAATCGATACGTGAACATATCAATCGTCGTGAGCGTCACAGATAGCGACGCGAGTCAATTAGCGAATATTCTTACACGCACGATCTTAATTGAAGGGGTAAAAGTATATAATCACTACTACCGCCCGATGTGGCACGAGACGGTGACTCCAGCAATCAAAGATGCTCTAACTATGTCATCAACTCCAATCTAAATCGTTACTCAACTTGCCGTCGAACGGCGCGCAAAAAAAGATCTCGCCGACAAAAAGACACTACGAGAATACTACTACGCTCTCGAAGAGAGAAAGGAAAGAAAGTACAAAACGAAAAAGAAGAAGAAGAAGAAGGAGAAAGAAAACGGAAACTGAAAAACGCAGGAAAAAAGACGTGATTGTACACGTTGTGTAGACCTAACGCAAGATAAGCAACTGACGAAACATGCCCAAAAATTAATTACGGCATTCACGAAACGTATGTCGATGATTGATATATACTGGATGAGTATATGCGTGTCCTCTCTCTGGCGACGAACCAAGAAGTGAATCGCAGCGATACGAATTAATTGACAAACAACCAATGGGGAGTGAAACGAAAGAAACGTATTATGTACATGTACGGCATACTTTTTCGGAATATGTTCTGACTGCGACTGCGAGGTCCCAGGCATCGGAGGAGGTGGTGGGATCAATCAACGGAAATCATAACTGCGCTCAATCAGTTTGCGGCCACACTACTACTTTGTCGACCCGCGACTCCGCACGGGCACACACACGACGATAAACGAGACCAAAGTAAATTTTGAAAAAAGCCAATCCGGTGCGAAAGAAACGGTGTAACTCAAACTGAGCTGATAAAACAGAGAAAGTAAGACACGATGGCACGCATGAGTACAATAAAAATCACGAGAGAGAAATAAGGAAACGACAAATGGTCGGTCAAATCAACAATGTAGTCCAGGGAAGCATCTATTCGTTAAACATGCCCAAAAATATGTTTACGGCACACACAACAAATGTATAAGATAGATAGATAGATAGAGAGAGATAGATAGAGAGAAAGAGATAGATAGATAGAGTTTTGCGTCTAAATCCGGGCGCGAGAATTCGTCGTGGTACAAAATAGCTGGCAATGACTGTAGTACATATATATAATATATATTATATATATATATATATATATATATATATATTATATATATATCGCTATATATATTGAGTCGCAGCGCAAAAAACAAATACGTGACTTAAAACACCCATCGCTCGTTAACGTTGCGGCTTTACACGCTGTGTGGCGCGAATTAATATTTAATGCGTTTCTTGCCAGGCCGCGAATTCCCGACGAGAGAAGCGATTATCGGCGGATGGATACTAAAGTGTGTATATGAGTGTATGTATATTTGTACGTATGTATACCCGGTGACACCTCTGCGTTCAAACTCGTATGCGTGGCGCAGCGTTGATGAGGGAAGTTGGCGGAAAATGGCGAACTAGCGCGAATAATGAAACGTTTTGCTGCATCCCTTTCCGGCTGCCATTAAAGGAGAATCCTAACGAGTAAACTCTACAGTTGCCGGAATTAATTCCCTGAAATGTCACTAAAACGTCGCTAACGCGGCTCGGCATGCGGAGTTTGCGGTATTCGCGAGAACGCGTAAAATTGGCGAAGTTTGGCTCGACGATGTGCCTAAAATGCAATAATGATAATTGTTGTGCCGATTAATCAGCCGGGAAAATACGTGTCGTGAGATTTTGTACGTTGACAAGATCTTGTCTTTGAGATCGAAGAGTGTATCTCGAGGCAACGCCTTCCAATTCTCGCGGGGAAGTTGGGTCGATGGATTGAAAGCAGCAATTGAATGGTAGTGAAAATGCAATCGCACGAAGAATGAAATAATTTTGACGCCTATTCACGCTTCGCTAGCAACTTATCGCTTTGCCCGCGATACAACAAATTGTACGACAGTATTGTTCCTTGATAAAGTGCTCGCAAAGAAGCAAATTCGGCGCGTGTTTGGGCGAGATAAGCCACCGGAACGTTTGCGTGACGTCAGCGCGGAGGAAAGGGAGGGCCGTATATCGAATTTACAATAAAATGTATTATCTCGCGCCGACAGCACGTAGCACTGGCACCTGGCACCTCTCGTGCTGCGTGTACGTTATATAATTAGCCAATCCGTTCTCGCCATGTGTCTCCGCGAAATCGCCGTTGAAAGCGGCACGTCAAGCGCAAATCTCCCCATTACTAACGTTTTTTTGGACGCGACTTTTGCTATCCGGAAAAAAAGATACGTTCGCGGCGGCTACGCTATATATTTTTTCACTAATATACCGCCCATACAATTCGCCTATGATCCATGACGCGATCCGTACACGATATTTTCCACAAAGTCGCAAATCACTATTTTTGATCGGTGTATTCTAGGATTTCGTTGAACGTTTTAACGACGATATGTCAGTTGTATGCTTATTTACAAGTCGTCTTAAAAATTGTGACATCCATCAATCCGTACTAACTCGACACATTTCTCCTCCGCGGTCTCATAAATGTTAATACCATTAAAATGTCATGCTCACTGTGACCAATTAAACACAAACTACCATTAATATAATTGATGCCTCGATGTGATACGATTTATAAAACTATTGCATCAACTGCGAGAGCGAATTAATGCTAATCTCCGTGGAACAATAAGCGACACGAGCAATTAATATTTAATGGAATGATGGCAGCGCGGTACTCTCTTCCTCCCTCCCTCTTTCTCTCTCTTTCTACCTTTGTCGATTACCGTGCAACAATAGAACACGCGCTTTGTTCGGAAAATTGTGCTTTAGTGATAAATGCACCGAAACGGATACTCAACGCGGCTCTTCTCCTCTGTTCTCATACCGTTTCTTATATCCGTGCGAATTACGGGTCACGATTCGCGGATGAAAGGCGACCCTTGTCCGCGTCGTTTATTCAATTTAGTACATGTACACGTGAAAGAGAAAGAAAGAGAGAAAGAGAAATCTTCTTGTTACTCGTCGTCGCAAAAAGGAATTAAATCTCGCCGTGGAATCGATTAAAGTCTCCTCGAAAGGCTGGAAATGGCTTCGTACTTGCACGTCGAGATGCAGCAAACGGTTTTGAGGACGTAATCGGCTCGACGGAGTCGACATAAATGCGCTGTTTCTGCGCTCACAGTCGAAAAAAAATGGAACGCCGACAATGCGCAAAACTAACGAAGTTCGTGCTTCACTTACTGAGGCAAACGTGCGCCGCGTCTACGAGTATGTACATGTGCGTATTCTGATTCATGTGAATGCGTCTCTCGTGTTCGCCGAATGGGAGACGCATTTTTGCCCATATTTCAACGACGGTTGGCCGCGATCTGCAGCGATGGTTCCCATCAGGTATCTCTAAAGAGCGTCTGGGATTTACAAGTAACTGAATTTTAGCAATTATCTTGGAAATCTCAGTGCGATATTTTATGTATTACCGACATTCGCGCTATAGCAAAAATAATTCGAGTAAAAATAATATTTGTATCTTTTTAGCTATAAAATGTCTCGGAAATTATTTCTTCTCTTTTAAATTTTGCTCGTTTAAAGCAGCAACTTGTATTCACAATTGTATAAAGAGATAATGACGATTGGCTTCTGTCATGAGTTCATTCTAATCAAGATTATCCATTCGTTTGTTAACCAACTTAATTTTTCATTTGAATTACAAGACTGTTAAAAATACTTTGATACTTTTTACTTTGTCGGCGTCTCGTGTATCAACAACTCCGTTTTGGAACTCTCCGTTCAACTATTGAGAACCGTCGCTCCAATGTCCGCGTTCTGCGTTAAAGCTCTCTCGGTACCTGTTCACGTGCAGATGTACCCCCTGTATACCTGAATATTTCGATCATATTTCCGACGACCGATCCTACGTTTGCAAGTGTGCCTGCGCGTGTAAATGCGAGCGAGCGAGCGAGCGAGCGAACGCGCGCGCACACGCGCGCGTCGCCTCTGCGAGTGGTAGTGTATGCGTGTGTGTTTGTGTCCGGCTGAATGTCTGAGTGTATTTAGATGCGTGTAATGTGGATTCGTACACAATATCAATTAACGTGCACAAGAACAATACTGCCACGAGATTGCGTGCAGGGCGGGTTCGTGCAGAGAGCCGCACGGAGCATTGACAGTGTGACAGACCTGGCTTTAACAGACACAACTTTAGCCCCGACGGCCATGTTCTCTTTAATGTAGATCGGGCCATACACTACGTGGTCCCATACGGGCGGATTATTCGCACGGTCCACAACGTCAATCTGAACCTCCACCGTTCGCGACAAGGGCGGGAAGCCCTTGTCTTGGGCCATCGCCTCCAGCTTGTACGTCTCGCGCTACGGCCAGACCGCGTGTATAACAAACGGGAACAAAAAACAACGGCGTTAGTGTCAAGGCGCCAAGGTTCTTTGGCAGAGAGAGAGAGAGAGAGTGAAAGTAATGGTACATGTTGATCCCCGTCGTTGTTTTCGATAGAGAGAGAGAGAAAGAGAGAAAGAGAAAGAAAGAAAAAGAGAGAGAGAGGATCAGGAGGACTGGTCTCTCTCTCGCATCCGCAACGCCCTGTCTGTCTCGCCCTTCCGCCGTGTGACATTCGCCGCTATGGCAGATGCCAAAACACCACCAACGCCTGGAACGTGGTACGGGCGAGTACGGGCTCGCATATTATGTGTTTGCGCGCATCCTCGCGCCGATTTGCTCGCTCGGCGCTAGTAGGGACTATAGCGAAAGCTCGCGCGATATTTGCGATGCGCGCAGCGGCCAGGTGGCTGAATGAGCTCTTGTGGGGGTACACTGGCAGTGTGATGGACGATCGACGCTCCGCAACCTGCATTCTGCGCGTGAATATCCGTATCGCGAGAAGGCACCAGGATCTCTCGCTTACATCCCCGCCTAATAAACCTATACGAATGAGCACGATAGAAGCGCCTGTAGATCATCGCTCCGCCTTGCCGCGTTCGCACAGTTATAGTTGTTAATTGCTTTATATCCGCTACGATCTGCTCGCGACGATTGCTGCGTCCTCCGGGTCTTTGGGGAAGCATGGTTCCTGCCTTTCTCTTCTTCGCGTCGGGGAAGAGGTGGGCCTCTTCGGCTTTCGAGTGGAGTAAGTTTGGGGCTCTGGGCTCGCGAGAATCTCAATGTTATCACGAGTGCGCTGTTGACTAAGAGATATGCATCGTTTAGTTCAATTATTACACTAAATATTTAGATAACACAAGATAGTAGATCTAAGATAAGCGAGCAAGCCAAATTAATTAAGTAATCTAGAGCGAGTTTTGAGACAAAATTTTCGTCGTACCAGTTCTGTCCGTATCAGTAGCGATAAATTATACGCGAGAAGAATCGTAACAAACACCAATGTTTTCAACAAAATTTTATAAATTTTCGAGAGATTTCGTGAGATGTTCTTTGAAATTGACGGAACAATTTTAGTGACGACTTGAAAAGCGACGACGATAACGCGATGAGTCGAGACCGCAATTCACAGCGTTTGATAACACCGTAGAGCAGTTAATTCTAAAGCTGCAGCTACGGCTTGCGTTAATTTATGGCATTCAAGACTTACTCGACTTGGAAGCCGAGCGATCATTTCCGAATGATTTCCGCTCGATCGAACACTCGCTGTCCCCAAATATCATCGGAGAGCAATCGTCGCGGCTCGCTACAGTACATGTTGGGAAGAGATAGTGGTAGTAGAGTAATAGTAATAGTAGTAGTTGTAGTAGTAGTAGGAGAAGGAGAGTGTCCGCCATTCAGCGATCTACCGCGCCGCGCTTAACCATAAGTGCTTCCGTATCCAAAGAAAGAAAGAAAATGATGTGTATCCAATGTCTCTGTGTCTAAAGAGAGAAGTAAACATACAGATACACTAAAAAACCAACACAAAATGAAGAACAAACGTCAGAATAGCAATAGAAAAAAAGAGAGAGAGAGAGAGAGAGAGAGAGAGAGAGAGAGAGAGAGAGAGAGAGAGAGAGTAAAATGAAATAAAAAAAATTAAAAGTACAAAGATTGAGAAGAGAGAAAAGGAAGAGAGAACGTGAGAGAAAGAGAGAAAAAATAGGGCGTACCGGAAACGGGCGAAAGGAATCGATGGGAAGGAGGTAATGAATGGGATACTCGCGTAAACGAGTAATCGAAAGAGGAAAAATGTGAAAGACAGTGTAAGAGTCAAATAAAAAAGAGAGGTTAATAGATATAAATAGGAAAGGCAGCACTGCATGGCACGGCACGGCATGTCACGTGTCTTGTCTCGGTCATGTCGTGGCATACAAACCTGGCTTTCACCGACGTCACTACAGTACCCACTGTGACATTTTCTTTGATGTGAATGGGGCCGTATACATTCGCATCCCACACAGGTGGTTTATTGTTTCTGTCTACGACGTCTAACTCAACGTCCACGTCTGCGGACAAGACTGGCATCCCTCTGTCGGAGGCCCGTACTCGCAGGCGATAGCTGTCACGCTAGTGGCAAAACATTGGGCCGTCAACTTATAAGACACTGTTTTACGGGAATTTTGTTGGCGTTTCTTTTTTTCGATTTTGTGATTTTTGTTTCCGTTGCGTCACTTTACTTTCTATTCGTTTTCCCGACTTGTCTTTTCCGTCGGAGTTTACGAAAGAGCTAAAGGCGTCACTCGGCGTCGAGCGCGTCCACGTGGTCACGTGAGAGATAGATAGATAGATAGACAGAGAAAAGAGAGAAAGAGAGATAAAGTACTCGAGAGTACCGGTTTCTATGCTTTTTATTCGCGAGCGGAATTAAAACGGAAAGAAGAAGAGAGAAAGACAAACAGACGGAAAGAAAAACAGAGAGAAAGGACCGTGCAGTCTCGTAGGTATCCTGGTGGACTTCGTCCGTTGCGTGTTATCTCGGTAGTGTGATAGACTTGCTGTCCTCATAACAGACGAGTCTATCATTTCCGTAATGTGATTTTCCTTCGGTTACGTAATAAAAGTGCGCCGTTTACAAGCACAAACTTTACTGCAATGAACTCAAACATGCCGTGAAGTGGACCTTTCGTGAATAAGTTGCGGCATATAGCGGCGTGGTGATGAAGATGACGACTTGTAGTCTACATCGCCGACCTATGTTGATTCGCAAAGAAGCGGTAATAACATTGAAACAAACAATTAAATTTGTAAGTGGACGTTGTGAAAAACGTGAGAGCAAATGTAGACGATGTAGTTGTCGTGACATACTTACCTGCCGGACGAATATGTGCTTGCATATTTGAGCTCATTGCTGCGAATCGCGTTGTTGATTGACGCGTGAACAAATATTATCGTCTGTGCGCTTGCAAAATTTACATATTTGATTCGCGTCGATTTTGCGTCAATAGAATTGTCCTCATAACATTGTGTATTAAATGTCGAATTGCCTCCGTGTTATGAAAGTTACCTTCGTGTAATGAAAGCAAAGTGCAAATGAATACAAAAGTGATGCTCGCGTTAGATATATTAGGATTAATAATTGCATTAGATTTATGCTGTCATCCGAGATAACACGAAAGCGGAGAATGTACTTGATGTCTCAGAACTACCATCTTTTCTTCCCTTTGTAGATTCTTTGATGCGTTATTAACATTTCTTCTTTAAACCTTAAATATGAAGATTGTCTTAAAACAGAGATTGATTTAGGAATAAAATCTGTAATTTGCGAATAGTACAATTTAATGTGTAAATATCTTTTTTGTCGTTTATAACTCAAAAATTAGTAACATCGCAAATTCTCATCGAAAAAAATTGGATTTCGAAGAGATTAAAGAATCTGCATAACCAGAGTAATGGTAATTCCTAATCATTCCGTATGGAGTAACAGCGGGTGAACGGTATTTCAAAGTAAACCAAATGTTAAAAATTAAGTTAGAAGTTTGTGTATATAGAAAGTATAATGATCGATTAAATAAGTTCAGTATAAAGCAAACATGATTCAATGAATGAACTTTCGGTCTAGAAACTTAATTTTTAGCCCGTTATAATTTTACACACTTCGATCCTATTCATCCGCTGATCGTAAAAATAATTTGCCATCGCATTGACATCGCGATTTATGTTAGTAAAAGCGTTGTATCGAAATAGTCGTTCGACAATTGAGTTTACAAACGTCTTCCTTTGTTTCCAAGTGAACACTTTTGTGAACGTTTGTATATAATCGGGATCTTGCTACATCATAAGATTTCTAGTAACGAGAGAACTACGGGCTTCCTGGAACATTAAAAGTAATTATTGAAGCTGTTCCAGTCATGGAACCAGATCCCTGCACAGCATTCGATATCCAACGGACGTTTACCAAATGGATACATGTAAAATAAACGCATATTTTACTTGCGATTCTGTTAAAAAAATACACTGATTTATATTTAAAGAAAGCACGGCTACGTGAAGTACTGTTACGGTGCTGTGCTACTAATAGAGAGTGAGACACAAAAATATGTAACGTGATTTCAGCAAGGCGGGTCATGTCAAATGTTAATGTCAAATCAAATCAACCGACATTAATCAACGTAAATTTAACATAACATTAAAATTTAACGTGACATTATTAAACTCTTACTTAATCAATTTATTTGAGTTTCCCAACCTGCATCAAAAAGTGGACTTCTATATATATATATATATTTCGGCGTAATCTTTAAAATAATTTTTTAAATTCCTCCCACTTATATTACCTCTCTATAATAGAATTCTTCAACGAAATACGAAAACTTGAAAACTTTTAGTGGTTTTAGTTATTAATATCTACTTGTCAGACGTCCGTCGGATATCCAGCACCACGTGGGAATAGATTGACAGGAGAGTTACCGGCGATGCAAGATATCGGTACAGATAAGGCATCCTTCGCTTACGGATACATACGAGACTAGGACGGAGAACGAAAATAGAGAGACAGCGCGGTAGCACGTGTGTATGTACATAAAAAATACATCGCGCGTGATAAAAAAATTCGAACATAAACACTCGAGAAGAGACGATTACAGATATAGATAAAAAGATTTTTAGAAATTGAGCGGCATAAAGAGAAAAATAGAGACAGAGACAAAGTATAAAGATAAGAGAGAGAGAGAGAGAGAGAGAGAGAGAGAGAGAAAGAAAGAGCAAGATAGAAAACGAGAAAAAGAGAGAGAAGTTGAAAGAGAGTGACGTCTCCGAGTGACAACAATAACAACAACAGAGGCGAAAAATCATCGAAACGATATAATGTTGAATAATCGAACGGAAAGGCGCACTAGTATTTGCAACGAATATTATACTTTCTTTTGCGCAGGTATAACAATGCTGTCACATCATAATGTGTCTCGATGCAAGGTGTGAAACACAAGAATATAGATCCTACTTACTGGAAAACAGCCCTTTTTTTTGTCATCATCAAATCCGAAGAAAGTAAATGGTGCAATGAACACAAACATAAACAATAAGAAGTTCAAATTAGTTCCTTTACGAAATCAACCAATGCAGGCATTTTGCATGCAAGCGAGAATGCGTTAAAGAGGCATCAGGAAACGATGATTGAGGAACAGAAAGATAAAAGGATATGGATAGGGTTGATGACAAAGATTGGAAACTTAGGGGAAAGGTTGAGAGACTGAGGAGGTAGGAGAAAAAAAAACTATGACGACCCCTCATCTGATTCGTTTTAACGACACTCAAAAACCGATGGACGTTATTTCTGATCGTCGTGATAGTTAATCCGCACGTGTTTTCGACTTTCCTCTCATTCCGTGATTATTTCCGTTCATTCGTTTTCTTCCCGTTTTCGTCACGACAGTGGTATGCCGCCCCAATCACAGAAGAAAAAATGTCACACCACGGACAGTTCTCTTACGATCTATGTACATATGTATATGTATATACACATGTTTATACATTGGCATAACGCTCTCGATCAAAAATGCTTTTCGTGTTCTTTTCCTTTTCTTTGTCAGTCACGTCGTGTTACACTGGGAGAGCGGGACGAAAATTGGGAAACGTCAGTGAGAAAGAGTATGTAGAGAAAGAGAGAAAAGAAAAACAATCAGAGAAGTAAAAAAACAAGAGAAAATATGTAAACGAAATCAATTTGTAAAAATTCGATAGTCAGTAACGAAGAACACAGGCAAATATGAATAAACAAAGAAACTTATAGATAAAATAATGAACATAGCAAAATTAGTAAAATAGTATCGGGCAAAAGTATTCGAAAGAATAACTATCAACATAACAAGAAAATACAAAATGCACAACACGCAAAAAATTTATAAAATTTTTAAAAGCAAGAAAAGAAAACAAAATTCTTAAAAAACAGATAAGAAAGATAGAGAAAGTGAAAGAAAGTCAGAAAGTGATAGATTAGAAAGAGAGAGAGAGAGAGAAATAGAGAGTAAGGATGGATGTAGGAGTGAGAGCGAGATCCGTTCCTGTAAAGGAATCAAAAACACATTCATATAAAATATCCAAGCATTGTCAAAAATTGTTTATGTCTGATGCACCACAAAATGCGTAGAGGTTGAAGTACACCGTACGTGGGGCTCAAAAAATGTCGTTCCCACCTGCTCCTGGAAGTTCAAAAAACATCACTTCCCTTTTGAAAAACATTCACAATTAGTAATGTTAGTTGAACAATTAAAGATCATTAGTTTGCTCCGAACGTTTCCCTTTCTTTTGTCATATCTCTTATATATCATCATAGTGTTTCATCATTGTCTTTTCTCTCCAATTGCTTTCCCGTTAAATTCTCCAACGCGTAACGTACAAAAATCGTATACATCCTTTTCTTGGCTACTTTTAGAAAAAGTATGAAAAGTGCACACACGCTCGCGTTTGGTCGGCCGCGCGCACGTTCGGGCCGATCCTTTTCCTTTCTTTACTCTTTTCTTTATTTATTTTTTTCTCTTTTGCAAAATTACGCGTCGGCATTTGCAACTCGCCAAATCGATCGAAAATCATGATCGGCATCGCGGCACAAAAAACGGAACGCGGCATAAAACGAACGCCGAACAAAGGAAATCTAAGTGAAGATAAAAAGAAGGACGGAAACGAAAAGCCATGTATACGCGCGCGTGGTTTGTTCGACCGCTCATCTGTATGTAACTGGACAAAACCGATCCTCGACGAAAAGTGAATGAGAAAAACTGGACAAGAGGTATCAAAGCTTCGTTTGGAATCGTTTAAAAAGGTACTCGCGCCGCGAGTATGTTCTCAATAGAGAGAATGAGAGAGACAGAGAGAGAGTGTTTTGTTGCAAAAATAGCCCGAACGGTCGATCGATTCAGGTACATGAAGCGTTTGAGGAAATCAGGCATAGCTAAGTATTTACCATAGTGAACACATTGTGCATATCAATGGGAATTAAAAAGTTCTATACATGTGCCGTAAAAAGGAAACTCATTTCGTTGCATATTAGTGATGAGAGAAATAATTGCCGACCAAACGTATATTAGTATACAAGTTTATCCGCTCAGCAACAAAACGGATTCGTGTTTAAATATAACGTAATTCAACGCAAACGTACAATATATCGGCAGAAGGTGTACACTCAAGTTTTGTATTTATACGATATCATATATATATATAGATATATATATACGTATATATAAATAGATATAGTATACTACGCAACCTACACATTCCTGGGACACGCGACACTTGTTTCGGGACGAGTGCATCCGCAGGATCTCGTACTTGAAGAGATGTCAGCGATAAGTACCAGCACGTGACGGCGTTCTATTTCCGCGACGTTTTGCCTCGCGGAATGCTAAGTAATTTATATGTATATATATAGTCACCCCTTCCGGGATTTTCACCCGGTTTCGAGGTAGTATCGAGTGTATCGTAAGACGTCAAGAGCAAAAAGAAGCCAGCAAGCCGCAAAGAAAAATGCAAGCCTCGCCCACGAAAAAGTGGGAGTGTTCCAGGAAACGATGCTTGTCCATACTGCTAAAGAGAGACGATATGTAGATTAGCGATTTCATGGGGATACTCACGTCTAGGGGCTTCTTTAATACAATCCAACCAGACTCTGGTTGAATCTCAAAGTACTCCAAACCCTGGTCGTTGTTCGGCGAGCTCAGTGTGTACGTGATCGCGCCGTTGTTGTCAGCATCCTCGTCGGATGCCGACACTCTCAGTATGTTCGTGCCGATGCTCGCGTCCTGCTTCACGTTCTCCACATACCTCTGCGAAGAAAAGACAAATTGCAATTCTTCTTGAAACTCGCGTCGATAAATCGACAGTGTGCCTAGTTGCCCCGTACAATATTCAACGTACGCCTTCGGGCCCGGACGTTGTTACTCGGGATTAAAAAATTAAATATTAGGAAGCTAAATTTCAAAATATTAAAACACCAGACTCTTAAGAGACCATAAATTTGATTGATTCTTATTTAAAAAAAACTATATTAATATCAAGACTTTGGCTATTTGGTTGGCTATTAAGATAATATTTTTCTTAGGCTCAGATTTTCTCTCAAACACTGCTGCTAAGCTCGCGAGAATGTGTTCTCAAAGTTTGATGCATGCTTTACGATGCAATATTCATTCACAGTAGAAGTGGACTAGAGTCCATAATTTATGATATTCATCTTATGTACAGTTCTTCGTGTTCGCGGCGTACTTCATGAATTATGGACTAATGTTCCACTCTGAGCTTTTCGCGTGGTATATTTAATCGATACGGACCAACGCACACACGAAAGGTGCGTGCATCGTAATTGAGTAAACAACGCCGGAGCTAACCGAAAGTAACTTGGAGATATACACTGCGCGTGCATTCTCGAGTTACGTTAGCTGAGGCGTGACACACCGACACCGATGGTGGTTTCGCCACGCTCGACCATATTTCCGGACATCTGCTCCACGTTTCTACCCCGAATGGTCCCCTGAACGTTTGCCTCGGTGTCTAGCCGAACGTACGCACCTGACGGTCGAACAACGGCGGGTTGTCGTTCACGTCGGTTATTTCGACGGTAAACGAGCAAACACCTTCCAGCGACGGTTCGCCCTGATCCGTCGCCTTGACAGTGACGGATACGAATTTCCCGTCGTCGCCTTCGCGATCGAACACCTGAAAGTAATACCACGTCCGTTATCGAAAGTAATTGCCTTGAAAGCTTCGCAACATTAGAGTAGCTCGCACAGAAATAATAATATCGAAATAGTAATAGCAATAAAAGTTCATTCTATTCGACGTGATGTAATAAAAATTCTCTTCTCGATGTGAATTGAGGATAATCGATACGATGAAGCCAACAACTTCTTGAGTTTTGTTAAATCTTTGAAGAAATGCAAAAATATGTGCTTTAATGTTTAATTTTTGCACTTGACGATTAAAAAAGTGTGTCAAATGTTCTCTTTCTCCTGTTTAATGCAGTAAAATAGATCTAAAAAGCTACAAATAGCAGAAATATAAAAAAATAGCAGAGTATTCTACCGTGCTAGGTGTATAGATGCATAATGCTAGTATTTTATTATAAGGGATCTCTATATGGAGTCACGGCACGAACGAACGGTAATTAGAGTGTTAAGTGGCTTGCGTGTTTATCGGTCAGTCAGCTGTACGATATGTGCAAAGAACAGAGGAATAACACGGTAGAAGCTCGAGTGATTGTTACATATTTTCCAATGCGTTCAGAGAATTATAAATGAGCTTTCCATTGCACGAGTCGTTTTATCTTTCCATGCCGATACAACGAGCGCAAATTTTACGACTCCATTAAAAACGGACTTTGCCATCGATTGAGGCGTAAGAAAGGAGAAATTGTAGAAAGTAAGCTCTCTCGTTTATACCTCGCGTATTCGTACAAGAATACGAGAATCTTCGTGTTAAAAGAATATAACAATCTACTCCACTTCAGACGATCTATAATTCACGATGGAATTCAGGACAGAAGCTTTTGTAATTTTATGTGCCAGGTCATGTAGAAAATTTGTATTCTGCCTCGTATTCTGTTATAAATTATGGATCGTTCCAAGCGGGTTCAATGCAACATAAAAAATATAAAGCGTGCCACGTTAACATTGTTACTGTAATGTCATGAATACGGGCAGCCGTCAATAGAAGTACCTTGTTAGTCAAGACCTGACCGGTCTCCTCGTCAACGGTGAACTTGGTACCCTTCTGATTGGGCTGTTGCACGATCGAGTACTTGACTTGTCCATTGACACCCTTGTCCTCGTCCGTGGCCAGCACCTTGATGACCGTGCTGCCATTCGGCGCACCTTCCTCCACTTTCGGGTAATACATCCCGCAGTCTTTGAAGACTGGTTTGTTGTCGTTCACGTCGGTTATGAACACCACGACGACCGCGGTGCTGGTGTGAATGGTGGTGTCGCCATTCGGGCAGCACGCGCCGTCGTCCAAGGCGGTGACGTTCAGCTCGTACTTGTCGCGATCCAGAGAAATTTCCTTGCCGTGGAGACGGATCACACCGGTGATCTCCTCGATCACGAATTGCCCGGACGTGGTGTTGCCACCGACGAAGCGGAACCGCACGTTGTCGCCGTCCTTATCAGAGGCGACCACTGTAGTCACCAAGGTGTTCGGCCCGGCGTTCTCGTCCACGTTGGGTGTGTAAACCTGCTGCGAGAATTTCGGCTCCTCGTCGTTTTTATTTTTCGTGTATATCCGCACCGTCGCCGTGCCGGTTTTCGACGGCTCACCTGCAAAGTAAGCTCGTTTTAATTTTCTACTTCTCTTTATTTGATTGTACTATATTGGAAACTACGTAATTTTCAATATTTTTAAAAAATATTTTTACCCAGCTGTATGACACACTCTTTCTCTTTCGTGACTTTCTAACTGGTCCTTAAAGATTAACAATAACAGTAGGTCGAACCACAGCAGATGTGTAATTGTTTTTTTAAACTTGTCCGCGCGACGATATATGAATTACGAATGGCGATATTGATTTAAGCATTACGCGAATAATCTATTAATCTAAATTATCGAATTGAGAATGTTACGAATGCCGGATGATATCTACCCGCAACGTCAAATTTTGCGATATGAAGTACGCGCATGAACGCGCAATAAATAAAAGCGCACCCGCGTTATTGCCGATTCGGCCGCTTTATTTCCAATTAAGCCGCGACTTGTCCGGGAACCAGGCCGCATTTGCGCCGTATATATGCAAATAACACAAATTCGCGTCTACGGATGTGAGCTTTATCCCGCGCACAGCACGAGGCGGGGATTCGGAGCTCGTTTGAAAACCAAATCCGTGAGATTTAGCTGCTGAGGCTGATCCTCCGGCTTGCTGACAGAACGTAAAGGCAGGGCCGATCTCTGCCTTTCTACGTGACCAAATCTTCGAGTAACATGCGCGTCTCGACTTTAGGGTATCTGAATTCTTAAAGCGGAGCGGATATCGAAGAACCATAGCCGGTCACCCGCGAATCCGTCCGACCGATGCGATACCTCCGTGAAATCAAATAAACGCATTAAAGCTTATCGAGCCAGGTACGATTAAAAAAAACAAGATTATTCCGTTCATGTGAATGAAAGCATGCATATCGCTCTTGGATGGCCTCACAATTGTGTATGTTTCATTATTGCTATTTTCATTAACGATTCACGTGTCGCAATCTGTGTTCGATTGTGACTTCTACTTCGTGGCTTACCCTTGTCCTTAGCAGTGACGATGAATTCGTAGTAGGCGTTATTGTTGTCCGCGTCGAGCTGCTTGTTATTGACGATAATGCCGTTGGAGTCCACGCTAAAATGATCGTCGGACACCAGATACTCTATTTCCGCGTTCACCCCCGAATCGGCGTCGGTTGCCTTGACTCTTAGTATATTCGTCCCCAGAGAGACGTCCTCGTCGACATTGTGAGCTTGATAATCCGGCAATTCGAACTTGGGCGCGTTATCGTTCACGTCGGATACTCGAATCGTTAGCTAAAAAAGAAGAAAGAAGATCGTAACGTAAATGGTGTAGTAGACAGTTTTGGGGACATAGCTTGTTAACTTATTCACGCTCAACAAGTAAAGGGAAAATCATGCGTATACCAGGTGTAGAAGTATGAAACCGGAATTCCCCTATAAATGGTGCCAGCGTTCAGTTTAGTGACCGTAAGACCGCTACTGCCGCGCTATTATATTCTCCTAACAGCTGACGAATATTGTCAACAAACATAACCCCAACTTTCATTCTCTAGTATATTTTTGTATAACCTTAAACATGTCACGTTTCGAGCCTACTAACTATGATTTGCGGACAGCATTGATTTTCTGTTATCATTTAAAGAAAACTGCTGCAGAATCACATCGAATGCTTGTCGAAGCTTACGGTGAATATGCTCTTGGTAAATCTCAGTGTTTCGAGTGGTTTAAAAAATTCAAAAGTGGTGATTTTGACGTGAGGAACGAAGAACTATGAACTATGAACTATGAACTATGAACTGCTGAAACCTGGTCAAACCGTCAATACTAATCGCTACCAACAACAAATGATCGATTTAAATCGAACATTGACTAAAAAACGACCAGAATATGCAAAAAGGCAACACAATGTCATTTTGCTCCATGATAATGCCCCATCACATACAGCAAAACGGGTCAAGGAAACGATCGAGTCGTTCAGTTGGGAATTACTACCGCATGCGGCTTATTCTCCAGACTTGGCTCCGTCCGATTATCACCTGTTCGCATCGCTAGGACACGCTCTCGCTAACCAACGCTTCGATTCGTATGAAAATGTGGAAAAATGGCTAGATAACTGGTTCGCTTCAAAAGATGAAAAGTTTTTTTGGCACGGCATTCATAAACTGCCAGAGAGGTGGGAAAAATGTGTTCAAAACAGTGGAAATTATTTTGAATAAAGTATTATTTATCACTTTCGAACAACAGACGTCTTATTTGTATAAAAAAATTCCGGTTTCATACTTCTACACCTGGTAATGAGGAATCCTGAGCGCATATTTTCCGACGGAAAGAGAATTGTTATTCTTCACCGAGGCAACAAAGTTCGCAAACGTAAATCCAGTTACCTCGACCGACGTCGAGAAACCACCCGAGTCCTCCGTCGCTGTCACTATCAGGGAATAAATGTGGGGTTGCCGCAGATCCTCAAAATCCAGTTCTTTCGCAAGTTTCACGATTCCAGAAGTCGGCCCGATGTTGAATGTCCCCGCGGCTCCTTGACCTTGCGCCTTCAGCGTGTAGCGTATCTCCCGATCGGCGAACGACTTGGCTTTCACCGATATTATGCTGAAAAGTTTTTAACACATGACACTCGCACGAATATCCCTCTCAAACTCGATAGGGATCGGAGAATAGGCACAGAGGCATGATGTAAGAATAAACTTTGAAGTCCCGGCGGTGTACGCCGCGCGAAAATAATTTTGTCGAATTCAAATCGAACTTGGAGGAGTCAACTTAACTCGGAAGACAAACAATTCCGAAAAGTAAACCGAATCGAAGTCAAACAGTTGCGATGTTCAATCACAAGCAATCTTGTGTTAACAATTAATATCGTTACGCATCGAACCAACATGCAAATACACAAGCTTATTGGCAAATTCAACATGGCAAAGTGGTCGCGAAGAAATAGGCAAATATAATATTAATTTATTTATTTTTTGATTTCGAGGAAACACGGCAGCTTCTAAGAGAAAATTGGATACCTCACGCAATGGACCAACATTTTTTGACTTTTTGATTTGCATTTTTGTAATTTAATATTCTTTTACGCGCGCGCGCGATTACACGGCAAAAGATCTAACAGAAAAAAAGTCTTCGTGCATAATATAGTATCGGAAATCGCAGAAAATTGTTCTCGATTCTCTTGTGAGATTGCTGAAAGACGCTCAAGTATCAAAAACGGTTCACTCAAAGAAAAAGTATCTTGGAAAGTGTTGCGTGCAAAATTTTCTTTTAAACAAGTACAAAGCAGAATTCGAAAGAGTTAAGTGGCTATCAGGGTGGACTTGCGAACTAACTCGGAATCTTTCTTCTGGTTTTCCGGGATCTCGGCCTCGTACGCCGTCATATAGAACTGCGGTGCGCGTTTTCCACCGACGATCGATAGTCTCTCCTCAGGAGTCGACTGGAAACGCCTCTCGTCGATACGGCCGTTCTGATCCTCGGCTTTCACGTAAAGGACGTACTCCATATCCAACTGAAAGAGGTCGGTACCTCGAGTACGTACCACCCCCGATCTCTCGTCGACCTCAAAGCGGCCGCCAGCTGCGTGCACATAGGTAAGTAATTAATTAATTAATTGATTAAGGAAGCCGTCGGGTTACTTTATCTTCGCGAGCCTCGCCACTAAAGATCTCACGAGAACTTGACACATCGCGGTTGGGAGTCCTATCATGATTCCTAATTTAATCGAAATTTGCCTCACGTGAAATATTCAGATCTGAATTTAGAGTTAGATGAGTTTTTTTTTATTTGAATTATGTAATGCAAGTGACATTACGATTGCAATCGCGTGTCAGCTGAAAAACTCACGTTCAACTTTAAACAAAAGCCCGCACCTGAGGCAAGTTTCAAATGACGACTGTTATTATGGGTCTGAAATACAAAGTAAACCTAATAATCGCGGAAGTTTTATAATGTGAGCTCGCAACAGTACTCGCGAATTTCTGTCCAACAGGATTTACGAAGTGTTTCGTTGCGAAAAAAAATCAAATTTTTTTCTGCTATGTTTTTATATATCAGGATTATATTCAGATTAAAAATAATCGTAACTGAGAGAGGAGTATTCACACGAATCCAACAATTTCTGTTAAATCTGCGAACGGCGGGGATTTTATCGGGAAATCACGAATTTTTTATTCGACGTTTTGTAGTATTTAAAATGCCTCTTGTTCATCGGTTTAATGCACCGCGGGTCGTCGTATTAATGGCGCCATGTGGAATAGCGGGTACACTTAATATCACACACGATAAAAATTGTTTATGATACATTCCCAAACGCAATTGTCGTGGCGATGTATTGGACATAATGACGTCATTACTATATAAGCCTGTAAATTGCGAAATATGATACTGGAGCCACCGCGTTGTAATCATCGGCTGCATTTGCGGTGAGAACAATGCGCTATTTTACGTCGATGCGCGCGGATTAATAATTTGGCCACACGCGTGCGATCGCTTTGCACGGTTCTGCGTACGCTCATTTGTACGTTAAACTCAACACACCCACACAAGTACCACTCATTGTAATTAATGAAACGCTATTGTTCATATGAACGGAACATTTTCCCTCTGAGTAAAAAATTCAGCACTACAATCGATTGATATTTTACTTACACAAATGAGCTAATCAGCCTTTCTAATTAGAAATAATTCAGCGTCTGCCACGCTTCCCATATCGCATTTTTCTGTCCAGTATAAAAGTTAATTGCACGATGAAGCGATTAATTGCTCGCTTTATTGGGTATCGATCATTATCTTAAAAATGATATCGACACGAAGCGTCATCATTGCTATCGCGATCATTTCTCCAAAATGTGCAGTTGGGCACTTATCCTGTAAATACTTAATTAAGTATTAAGTCGGATTATCGTGATCGACACAAATGGCTCCACAGAAATCAGAAAGTTTTTCAATGGAGATCAAGCCACGAAAAGGTAGAAATATCCTGCAAATATTTTCCGTCTCATAGTTTTTTACATTAAACTCTGATATTTGAGAAAGTATCAATTACTTGTTAAAGCGGAAATATTGAATTTCGCGAAAAACGAACATCGCGCGGCGAGACGTATCGAGAATTACTGGCCCGCGCTTTTTAACCGCGATACGGCACCAAAAACAATCTCGCGCTGATATTTCCGGCTCAGATGAATCAACCAACCAACCAAGTCCGCTCGACCGTCTCCGCAATTATCAGGTTTCTAAGCGGATTAGATATCGCGGCAACACGCCCATAATGTTTTATCTTTTCTCGTCGCCATTAATCACATTACTTATATTACATATCACCGGTGTTACTATTTAGCGTCAGCGTTAATGCTTGAAATATCGAGTCTCGATTACCCGCGCTATTACGTACTTCGATCTCGCACGATGAAGTAATGGATGTTGTGGTCGGTGTCGGGATCCCTCGCCTGAAGGGTGAACACGTGAGTGTTCGGCGGTGCGTTCAGCTGAACGACCGTTTGCATCGGTAGAGGCCGGTTAATGAAATACGGAGGCTCGTCGTTCACATCCTTCATGTTAATGATGACGCGCTGATTGTCGGTATCTATAACGTCACATCGATAATCGTGTTTACGTAGCAGCCACGGGAATCCTCACAATAAGGAACTGCGTAGCTGCTGCGGGACGCCGCTCGCGCGTTCCTCGATTTTTAATCGCCACTGTAACATTCTCCTTGCAATACCGCTCCTTCTATTTTTCCTCTTTTCTCCCTTTTTTTTTATATAGTGCTTTGAAAGCGAATGGCTTTGAGATGGATTTGAATTTTTGATGGCAGTTAATCGGTAGAGTCAAATTACACACGTAATTATTTCGTTATATTATATTTCACGTAATTACGTCGAAAGAAATTTAATTAAGCAGATTCTGTATTTACTCGTATCGCTGATATTTAATTATGTCCTTTTCGAAATGAGAAATTCAATCAAAATTCAACGGTATCTTCCGGTGCGTTCCGTTTTTGACGCGCGGATGTTTCAGTTTTGTTCGCGAATGGCGCCCGCGCAGCTGCGCTGATTAATAAACAGCGTTGTACGTTCCGCGTACTACAAAATACTACGAAAAGCGTGGAAGCAAGAAAAAAAAAGTGCTTTTATAGTGATATTAGTTTGTGCGTATGAGAGATATGAAAATGCGATATGAAAGATCGCTCTAAAAAGCATATTTTAATATGTGTTCGTCATTATACAAGTGGACGATATGCCTTGCTACTTACATTGAAATCCTTTGGAAGCCGATGTGACGCGAGAAAAGAGAATAATCATAGTTAATACATGTGCATGGATATGTTTTATGTTTCGCTGACAGAGATACGGCAATAAATATTTTATGTAACAAATAACTCAATAATGTTCATATTCAAAGTCGTTTGGTACTATAAAGACAAAAGAACGGTTTTTTTTACACAATTATTTAAATTAATTTTACGTTATAAATAATAAAATACAAAAATGTACGCGTGAAAGATCAAAAACTCCTATTCGTTTGTACAAAATGAGTTAATTTACAAACGTTGTCAAAAGAAAGTATCACAATACACACTTGTAAAATATTTTTTGCCGTACATATATTGTAGAATTTCCAATTTCATTGCGAATTGCGTCACTCTATATCGATACCCAATCTCCACCTTTATTACTACGAAAGCGAGAAATTCCGCATCCTCTAAACAGAATCCCAATACAGTATGTAGGATGAATCAGAGAGAAGCTGTGTGGAACGAGTCATGAAATGACTCATGAAACTAATCATGAAATGTGTCGGTCGAAACTATATTTCAGGCAATACTTATCGAAATAAAACTGTACCGCCGTAAAACGGACACCTGACATCGGGTGGAAATCGCGCGCACGGCTCTTCACACGTGGAGTACCGGCAAATAAAAATTAGACTGTAGTTAAATTAATTAAGACTGTCGAGAAGCTCCGTCAAGTATCTTCAGAACGCAAAAACAAAAGCGCAATATTACGATATTGAAAGAAAAATATTATGTTGAAAGAAAAATCGTATAAGATACACGTTTCTTCCGCAGTGAGAGCACAAATCCACTAAATTAGTTAATTAAAAAGAAAACGGTATACTGACGTTCGCCGAAGAACAGTTGAAATTATAAATCGATTGAAAAATTCACACACTTAAAAAAAAAATACTTGAAAATTTATTTGCGGGATATAAGTTTATTTCTGTAAAACCAAGTTTATTTCTATGAGATAAAGATAATTTTTCTGCGAAATAAACTTTTGTTCCACAAATAAATTTTTAAGTGTTTTTTTTCTAAGTGTAAGTAAGGGCCTTTGCACGTAGAAAAATTTTAACCGTAACCGTAAGGTCGTAAGAAAACTGACCAATCACAGTCGATTATTCCTCGAAAGCAAAGAGAATAATCAACTCTGATTGGTCAGTTTTCTTACGACCTTACAGTTACGATTAAAATTTTTCTACGTGCAAGGGCCTTAAAGTTCGCGATAATTATTCGCTCTATGAATATGCTCGTTTTACCTGTGTTCGTGATAGTAACCCAAAAGTCGATAGTTTTCTCGGGGCCCAGCTCCTCGTAGTCCCACTTCTGTTTAACCATGACGGAGCCGTTGGTGCCGACGGTGACCCACTTGTTCTCGTCTCTTATCTTATAGGTCTCCTTCTCGTTCTCCTTCTCCAGGTAAAACGCGATCTTACCCTCGATGTTCCCGTCCGCTTCCGTAAAGTCGACCTTCTTCGTAGGTCGCACTGCTCTGGTGACTCTTCGTTTTTGTATTCGATGTACTTCCGGCTGGTTATCCGGTTCCGAGGTAAGGAACCTCACGATGACCTTGGCTAATTTTTCGGTGCTGCGGCTCGGAGTGCGCAGATCGTGCGCTTCGACGACTAACTCGCACTCGCTGTCTTGTTCCGCGTTGATTTCCGGCTCGCCAGCCAACAGTAGTTCGCCGGTTTGCGGCACAATGATCAGTAGGCTGCTAGGTGTGACTAATTTATACGCGACCTTGTCCCCGTCCGCGTCCTTAGCCGAGACCTTGCCCACAGTGGAGAACCTCTTCCAACCGGGTAAGGCCGTGTTGCCTTTGCGCAAGGTGTCCAGGTTTGTCGGTCTTATCTCGAAGATGTAGAGCTGACGCTCGAAGATCGGACTGTTATCGTTCTGGTCGAGCACGTGAACGACGCCGCTGATCTTTGACGTGCTGATGAAGTTACCGTCCGACGCGTGTATCACGATAGTGTAGATCCCGCGGGCCTCGCGATCCAACGGTTTAGCGGTCACCACTCTGACACCTTGCTTTTGGCTCTTCAGAGTGAGATTAAAACCAGTCTCATTGGATTCATTCTCCCTAAGAGCGAAGGGACGTTCTCCGCTGTCGTCGGGTAGGATCTTATAGTGCACTGGGAAACTGCCGCGCGCTCGTAGAAGCGGGAAATTGTCTATCCAAGTTCCAGCCGGCGAGTTTTCCGCCACCTCGCCCTCGCCCAGGTGGTCGTGCGAGAACGTGAGCATATTCCGGCGATTGATGACGTAGAGGTGAAGGTCGTGGGTCTCTGTGCTGTTGGCCAGCTCCTCCAAGACGACTAGGTTCACCGGTCGGTCCACCAGCGGCGTCAGGTCCGATGTCGTCATCACCAGACCGTTGCCCAACACGGTGAAGTACTTGGAGAAGCCAGTCTCCAGTAAGCGAAAGTTGGAGGCGCGCTTCGCGTCGCCTCGGAATTGCGTCACCTCATAACCGGGATGGACATCGTGCGGTAGCACGGCCACCTTGGCGTGGACGACGGAAGTGACTGCCAGTAGGAAGACGACGACCCGTGTTCGCCACATCCTGCTCTGCTTGTGCTACTCGCCCGCTCTCTCGCGCTCTCGGTACGCCGGCACCTTTACTAGAGCATCAGTGCTGACGCCAACTGAAAGTAGGTGACAAAGAAAATTAACGGTCAAGGGGATGAGAAACGTGCGATAGTTGAGCGCGAAAATTACATACTCGCGTCGCGGTTGGCTGGAGCGAACCGTGATGGCAGTTGTGATGTGAAGAGCAAGATAGGAATTCAAATTAGCAGATTGCTTAGCTTGACGTTAGGATATTATCTGAATATAGGCAATATAATTTTTAGGATATTTTCTCGATTTTAAAGGCATTCGTCAACGTATTATAAGAATCGCGTGAGAAATGAACACATATCACTCTCACACGTAATTTATTTATTTATCCTTTATTGAAATATAATATATGTACATATACTAATGTTGGTAACATCTAATAACTGAATTTCCCTTCTTCTCTCTCTCTCTCTCTCTCTCTCTCTCTCTCTCTCTCT